TTTTTTATTATTTTGAGCTTTCTGTAACAATTTTCAGCTTAAAAATTTGAGCACACAAGTTTACCTTTCCATAACTTTGCATGACCAAGACTTAAAAGAACATATAAGAGAGATCTCTTTCAATAAAAACGGTGTACAAATAGATGACGTCACTGATGTTTCTGCGGTACTTGCATGTGCTTGCAAACGAAACAATTTAAATTCATCGCAGCAATATACACGAAAAGATGATGAAATCTTCATAACTAGTTACAAAAAAAGGTAAGATTAGCAAATGAAATTTGTGTAGAAACTATGCAATTAATAACTGTAGTTTCTTCACAGTTTTCATTTGCTACAATAGGCTGGCAAAGTTTACAAAGAAAGATCTTATTATAAGCTTTAATAGAATTACTTGACGTAACTTGTACAAAATGTAGCCAACATCGACAATATTGTCGGCTTGCAATGATATTCATAATAACTTGGCACCAATATTAACGAGATTTATGCCAATTGAAATAATTTTTCAGTCATTTCGATCAGTGATTGTTTAGGTAACCAGTGCCATGAAAATTATTTACACATCTACTCGAGTTGCTTCCAACTGCCAGACTAATGGAGGTCGCGACCCGTCGGCACAAAAGAAAAACCTACAAGCTTATGTAAATAAACCTTGCTGCTAGGCCTTGAATGTAAAAGATAGAAGAATAAAGTCAACTTACCCAAGACGTTCAAGCTTGCTACAAGAGCCATGGTGTATTTGCTAAAACGAAGTCAATACGTAAAGCGGAAGTTGTCGGACACTTTATCAGCAAACTGCACAAGCATGTGCCAGGCTTGTGAACGAAAAATTTAGGGGAGATATCCCGGCGTCACGAAACGAATGGAATTTATACCATTGATGTCTGTAATCGAACGCAAAACCCATCAAAAAACATTTGCTAAACTTTGTAGGCAAATTTCAAATTCCGAGTTCTCCAGTAATGAAATAAAACATCCGTTGAAAAACAAAGGCAGCAGTTTACTTCAAGCTAAACTGAACTTGTTTCGAAAAACATTGGGAAAGGGTGTTTGTCACACGAGCAACACGTGAGTTTCATAACTGACACAAATATGGCTTGTTCCAAGCTCATTGCGTGAGTGACGCTGTATGGCTCTGCCAAACAGCGTAACTAAAAGAGTTTGTATCGGAATGAAACGTACGTACTATTTAAAGCAAGTGATCGTTTCATTGTTGTAAGGCGGAGGGATCCACTGTTCTTATTTACGTCACTGTAGACAGAGTTAGCTCTTTCCATAAATATCCGGATATTTTTTGGAAGATTTAGATTTCGAGATATTAAATTAAGAAAAAAATAAAATATTCAGAAAATTTAGGTATAAGGCCTAGAGTGAGTTGACTTCATCGTGTCCAGGCCTTGATGGACTACGAGAAGCGAGCATGTTTTGAATGAGAACGGGAGAGATAGATGTAGTCGCCTCTCCCGCTCAGTTCAAGTTCACTACAATTCCAACAGAACCACCTGATCAGTCCCAGTGAGTTTATTGATTTCTGCACTGCCAGACAACCCAGCCTTCACCTGAGGAGGCTAAAAATGTCTCTAAATGACAGACTGGTGAGCTGTACAAGTCAACTGTACATATCCATGTGTTTAAATAGCTAATGGGGAGAGTGCTTCGCGAAGATGATTGCACAAAATAAATTAAGCTTCCGATCAACAATAGCCTGTGGTTTGTTTGCAACCATTTGGGCTGTCACGCAAGTCAACACAAAATTGCTGTGCCACAAGCTTGCGTTACAAGCCAACAGGCTCCAAAAGGCCTACATTACAACAATGATATGAGAAATCTACAAGATTGATGGTCAACATATTTCGATAAGATCACTGATGTCGCATCTTGATGGTGATTAAGTTCTTTGCATGGAGAGATAACGCTCTGTACACTCAAAAAAATCGTTTTTACATCCTCTGCCTACTGGACAGTGGTTTAATATAAGCTCGTCTTCTTCATGATACGAAGGAATTCAGCTTCATTTATTTCGCCATCACCATCTCTGTCGGCTTCATCAATCATTTCCTGCAAGAGTACAAGGTGAGTGTCAAAAGATGCAACTAAGGAACGGACCATTAATTTTTGGAGGTGGGGGGGAGGGTTGGGCAATTTTCTGGGGCTTGAATTTTTTTTTTCACCTTTAGGTTGTGCATGATTTTTTTTGGTGGGCAATAGCTTACAAGTGCAAGAATTTTTCTTCAGTCAAAAACAGGACCTGGGCTGGGTCGTTCGAAGCCTGATTAAGCTAACCCAGGATTAGTGAGAATTTTGATTTCAGTTTTGTAACTTTTCGGTGAGGTTTTCTGTTCATATTGTTGGTCCTTTAGTTTTGAGCTTGAGTAATCTCAAAATACACAAACACAGGAAATGAAGACCAATTGTATACAAGAAAAATTATTACTTTGGTTAACTTAATCCTTGGTTAGCTTTAACCGTCTTTCGAACAACCCGGCCCTGGTTATTAGACAGCACTTGCTTGATTTTTTTCCCCATGGCTCTCCTTGCACGATTTTTTTTCCAGCAGTTTTTGCTGTACAGGAATTTTTATTTTTTGGAAACTGCCCAACCTGCCTCCTTCCAAACAATAATGGTCCATCCCTGTCAGTAAAATATACCCAGTTCAGCACCCAAACACTGCCCCCCCCCCCCCCCCCCCCCCCCCCCCCCCC